AAAAACACTTTGCATTTATTTATATTTGAATGCTTCTCTATAAATAGTGAAAATGTTTATTTCATGTCTGGAGTACAAAAGTGAACTTACTTCTTTTGTACTACTTACTACTCATTTTTACACATTCAATGAAACTTAACATTCATAATAATAAGAACAGTTGTAGTTAGATGAAATATGTTTCTCGGATTTTCAGACATTTTACGAATTGAAAATTCCACTCAGATGGATGAAAATAAAGACTAGCTATAGCCAAATACTTGTTGACGTTACTGTTAACCATGCAGATAGATACAGACTGATATATAACACGTTTATCGCTGTAAAAATGGCATTTCGAAATATTACATACACTTCACTCACTGAAAGAAATATGATTTTACATGAATAAATCCACAACTATTTACAACCAACGGTTATAGAAGTAGAACATTTAAAATTGAACAGTTTCTTTGATATCAGTTATAAATGATGTCTGGAGTAGATCGGTTGTTGGTTTTCTGAACGTATAATTTCTATATTATGTAAATGTTATCAATATGCTACATTTCGTCCACATTTAACAATTGCTTTAGATAGCAACGTTCCTCGGTTTTTCCCTCCATTCCATTATCGTGTGGTGTATACTAATAAGTCGAGCCCATATAATATGCCCCAGCCTTTGAACAAATTATTTAAACCATGCTTCTCGAGTAATGATTCATACATCGTTTGACCTTATCAACTATTCACTTATACCCTTAGTGGTTTTTATTTGAGTATGTATGTTCATGCCTATTTCACCTGTTGCATGTATATCATATTATCGTCTGGCTATAAATGCTTAGACATGTTTCATTGTATTGAGTTGACTCACTCCTCTTCACCACTTTGCTTCGCTTTCCTTCTTACTCTATGTTTTCTTATGTATGTCTGCATGAAATAAACTCGTCCAACCTATGTAGCTTCTGATTACCGCCGTCTCATGAACGGGCTTCACTAAATATGGTATGCTGAGATTGAAGTGGATATTTATTTCTTAGAATACTCTACCATCTGCGCAAATTAGAGTCAGATCGTGGGTCACTAAACTGGTGAGCCCTACTTCGAAATTAACGAAATCCACTAAAATAGCTTCTTTATTGATCAGTACATACTATTTTATGGATAACAGTGAAACAATACGGTTATTAGAAACAAATATATATTTATTCTACGCATTTACTAATCCTTTTTTACTTAATTCAACTTTTGACCAAATAAAATATATATGACCGTCGTTTTTTAACAACCTAAACAAAATACTTAACTCTAAATTAAATTACACTGAACTCGAAACAACATTTAATTCATATAATCATTCAAAAGACTGATTATTTCATACATTGATAGCTAAATAAAATTATAGTTGATTTTTTGTACAAGATGAGTGATAGATAATAATGACCAATAAATCAATAGATGAATCAACAACTATTTCAAAACATCTAATTTAAAACCTATTGACACATTTAATTGCCTCACGAACTCATACTCATCATGATAGGTTAGTGAATTACATTTTATGATTTTTATTCATTTGTATTTTGTATAGGTATGATCCGTTAACCCACAGTATGCTGTTTGATCTGCACACGTTCATTGATACTCTGGATTTCATTTTGAGGGATTTCTTTTGGTGTATACCCATTTACAGACGATACTTCAAAGTCAATATCAGAACAACAGATCACAATGAATATAAGTCAATTGACACTGGTTAGAATTATGTTCTGTATATCAATAACGGTAAAATTAAAACAATCAATAGTAACTATCTATGGATTAGTTATCTCAGTAGTTATTAGAGTTATTAGCTTTAAGTAAAATGTATTTTAGTTGAAATAAATAGCAGCTGAGTTTGGGTTTTAGTTTGAATATCTTCAATAGAATTCATTGATCAAAATGGTATAATTTAGTCCAGCATGGTATTCGATTCCTGAAATGTATAGTTTACATCATTGACGTGGTTTATTTAAATGATCTATCTCGGTTAAGAAGGTATCATTCAAGAGAGCGTAAAATCGACATTTGACTAAAATGTAAGTCGCTGCATGTCAAATTGACTGTTTCATTTCAAGCTCACTACAACAACTCTGATATTGATGCGTTTGATTTCTTGTTGTGTTACAGATGCTCATCCCTTCTATAAGTAAACAACATTCCAGTAATTCAAGGTTTTCAATGGTTTATTCCTAGACTAGTCACATTATACCATGGCTTTAAATCTGCGTATAATTTTTAATTACATATAGTTAACAAAAGTAACTAATCAAGCACTAAGTTCATACTGTTATATCCCATTAATTTTGACTTTAAATATCTTAGTTATTTTATCGTAACTATCATTTAATCAAATTAATGATAAACGTTTAAAGCAGTGAATAGTTTTGAAAATGTTGATTGAAAGGTCAAAATTAAAATTTATGGAAACACTGAATATTGTTAAGGTAAAAAACTATCAATGAAAGATTTAAATCAGTGATTAAACTATATTAGAAGCATTGAAGAATTTCGATTGAAATAAGAACAGTGCTGATAAACTTTAATTAATGAAGATTTAATTCACGTTCACGTTTTATTAAAATAGTTACATAAATGTATGTACTATTTGATGACTGAAACATAAATCACTGGATGTCAAACTGATTGCTCCATTTCAAGCGAACTCTGGAAAATTTTAAATCATGAATCAATCAATGTTAGAAACGTTGGAGCACTGGATGGCCTTTTCATTCTGGTATGTGACCCATCAGCAGTGGGCAGTCCACGACTCCTTCTAATTTCAAGATTCGAACCCAGGCCTCCGGTTTAGCTAGTGAACCTTTAACCTCCAAACCAGTGAGTCGGCATCTAGCGGTGTTATTGTCTAACTTGCATAAGCTCATCCATTGTCTTTGATAAGCACCGTTTCACACCCGAACAAGATGAACTCTACTCCCCACTAGAACTCGTATAAACTTCTTCATGGAGATGGTCACCAGTGAACATATGATAAGTTGCATTATAGGGCAGTAGAGACTGTTGACTTGCTTTGAAATCGTGAATAGATCAATGTCAGAACAACATTAGATACTTGGGAGCTCTAGATGGTTGTGGATATGAACTGCTAATGTGTCCCTCACTATTTAATAACATTACTAAGATTTACTGAATAATTCATTCATCTTCCCATTTGCAGACATCATGTGTGAACACTTCATGCTTAAAGTAGTTTTCTGTGTTACTGTAATATTGCCCTTAATATTAACTAACCTTATTTTGTCTATTAATCATTGTTGACGGAATTTTTTTTAAATGAAATGATCTCAATTTATTTTACTCCATATTGAATACTATGGGGTTTGTCAGTTAGTGAACATACATTTGTGCTACACTAGATTATTTGAGATGTGAATAGTTCAGTAGTAAAGTTTATGATTTTGATACTATCTAACGAGCTTTATAATCTGAGAGGAATTAAAAGTCTGAATCACTATCTAAATCACAGAATTTTTGTAAATACCAACATATAGATAAGTATTTTTTGTATCCTTTTACTAAGGAATGTTTTTTCAGTTAACATTATATCGCTCATAAGTCACAGTCGTACATTGTAATTTTTTCGAACAACGAACGAGTTGCTTATTAGCGATATCATGGCATTCTTTATTCAATGGTTAAATATTAAATAAATATTTCTAGATTTATTTGATCGTAAAAAATATTAATGAATTTAGTTTCTGATAATTATCTTAATTTGAATTTGTTTTATTTTTTCAACAGTAGTTGCACTTTTTCTAGCGAACATTTCAAATATTATCGATGTATGTTCTAAATTAATTTTGAATTTATTTTACTTCACTTTAAGTGTTTTTTTTCTATCAAACTTTGAATAATAAAAATTTTCATGAAAACTATTGTAAAATTAATAGAATGAGTGAAATCGATTGAATATTAGAAATCCAACAAGTTTTTTTTATAAACGTGTTATCGGAAAAAATTCACCAACAAAATTCTATTCTTTAGTCGCAATATAAATTTAACAAGGTTTTGATTTGACAGCTATATGTATCCGCTGTGAACTGGCATTGTTGTTACTGCTTTTCATTGAACGTAGTAAACCACTGTATGTTAATTTCCATATTGCACAAAATGTATAACCTACTTTCGTCATTAATTGTTGGAGAATTTAGATCCCCAAAACTCATTTGATAAAAGTCCTGATTTTGGACATTATGCTTTCGTGCATGGGCTGATCAGTTGACCTTCAGATTACATTTCCCACCCGAAATTTCATGACTGTCTTTGGTTTGTGTGTTATTTTAGTGCGCTATTTTGTGGCTCTCCCAATGACATCATGTATAAATAAACTCGACTTGTGTGCCTGTCGACCTCGTATTTTCTGCGTGCTTGTAGAATACACTTTCTACGTCTTGTCAAGACTTCTTTCTCTACTTAGTGGTAACTTGGGACGCTCGTATTAGAGTAGCCTATCATGTCACTGCATCATTTCTCTTCACTCTAGTTTACCGGCTAAGGTGAACTCGTAATAGTTTCAAACATATCAAATGACGCGCATAACATAAATCTCTTTGACTCAACTTAAAATTTATGATATTGTGAATTTATATCTTCATACACTTTACTGTCATTCAATAACAGTAATTAGTTCAGTGTATGGATCAGTCGAGTTATATCGCAATATAAATATTCCGTTGATTTGATAATGTTATATTTTACAACTGCATTTGCAAAACTAGCGATAATAGGTCTCGAATGAGTAGTCTTACAATAAATTCTATTTTGTTTCAAACGTTATATTCCAATCGGCAAGATACCCTCCGCTTATTTCTCCACTTTATTGTTCCTTTATATATAAGAACAAAAATAAATTACAAAGCTCTTCATACTTAGCTATTCACTGAAAAGTCAGTTAAATAACTACACTGAAAGTAAGTATGATTTTATATTCACAATGAAATTGAACATCAATCATTTCACTTCCGTTTATAGTGTGTACACACAAAATAAACATTTTGTCTTTCGCCACTGGAAGACCAATCCTCATTTTCTGCTTAAATTAAACTGATATGTTACAGCTGACATTGTTTCCGCCTTCAAATATATGTTCTGCTTGATTCTACAGTAATTGTATAAAAAATATTTCAAAATCGTAATCAATATCTTGAGCATGTCACAATTGAACAATGTTTCAATATGTTCATGATTATTTTACATATATATTTGGCTTGTCATGTGAAATAATTGCAAAAATACTGATTTGCATGAATTAACCACTACTTCATTTAGTAGTACCTTGGAGTAATATTTCCCTTACAATTTCGGTCATAGAATATATATAAATCTGCACCTCAATAGTTTTTAAAATTGATTTCTCTCTCTGCAACAAGTTTGAGAATTTCAATTTTTCAACAACGAATTCATCATCATTTATTCACTACTTATTGATCTTGCCCTGTACTAATCAAATATTTACTCTTTAAATAATTAATATAATTTTGACCTAAATTTCTCATTTGCATATTGATCACATTTTTTGCTTCTGAGAGAATTTTTAAATTTGTTCGTAAATTTTCCAGCTGTATATCATCGCATAAATTGTCATCTATCTTATCAATATTATTATGATAAATAGTTGAAAAATTCATTCCATTATTCAAGTGGATTGATTCAAACAATTCTGGTGCCATGTTTTGTATCATTGAGTTGATCATTGATCGATTAAGTTCATTGTCTACAATTGTTTGTGATTCAAAAAGATTAATATTTTTATTAAAACAAATATTAGAATTATTGTCAAGGCAATCAAATGTGCCTGATTTTTTTCTACTTGGTGAGTTTTGAGTTCGATTTTTACCCGACGATATTGTTTCATCAGCTGACAGTGTAGTTTTCTGTTCAGACAATGTTGATTTACATGACGATGAGGATGATGATGATGATGACGATGAAGATGATGAAGATGATGATGATGATGATGATGTAGATGCATTCAAATGTAACGATGATGACAAACACGGTAAATTTGTTAATCCTGGTGTAGTAGCTTGTAACGATGAATTCCTCATTTGATTTCGAACTCTTCTACTTAATAATCGCCTTCTTGGTCTATTGACTGATTCATTAACATCACTAATTAAATTAGATAAATCAAATGTTGCTGATCTACTAAATCCTTTACATGTTTTTTTCGAATTAATCAATAAGAGGTGATTTTCTTTCGCTTCAATCGACAAACTAGTATGCTCTAAACATTCTGGACTAATAATACATTGTGTACATTTAGGTGCAGGTGATGGAGGAGGATCAGGTGAGATAGGTATAATAGGAATATCGCTCTTCTGTACATGAAAATAATTAGTTTTATGAATTTCAGTCTCAGTGATTGATCGAGTGATATAATCACAACGTGAACCACTATCTGTACACAAATAAATACCACTGTCTGTTAATGAACTACTAATGGAATAAGATGTCGTAGGCAATGGTGGTTTAGACTGTTTCATCTCTAGTCTAGGATAACTAATCCAAGGATTTGTACGAATTCCTTTGTTTTGTCGATGATGATGTGACGTGATTTCTGGTGTGTTTTGTATTTTTGCCAATTGTAATTCAGTTGAACATTGAGGACATTTCCAAATTTGTGGAAAATCTAATTCACGCGTACAAGATTTATTCGTTTGTGAAAAACTACTCGATGCTAATGTATTACAATGAAGTATCGGTTGTAGTTGAATTTGATTTTTACTAGTTGATAAAAACATTGTATTGGATTTTCGTATTGAATTTTTTGATTGGTCATTATTATTATCACTATCATTCAATGATTGTCTTCTATAATGTACACTTGTATTATTCTCCTTTAAAGTTATAAATTTCTCATGTGATTGCATAGTTTGACAATGAAAATATTTATTAATTAATTGTTGAACAAATGAAAAACACCATAAACTTTCTGATTCTTCAGTAGTTCTCATTTGATTTATTGATCAAAAGTAAATGTTGTGAATTGTCATTTCTGTGGATAAAAAAATGTAACAGAAGGACAAATTTAAATTTACAGTGCAAAAATTAGGCGAGCAATGGAAATGTATTTTCAGTTAGAATCAAGGAGATTTGTGTTTTTACACATTTAAAATCATCAATCAACCGATCAATCATTGATAGACCACCATTAGAAACCTGGAAGCACTGGACAGACGTTTCGTCCTGGTATGGCACTCATCAGCATTGGATGCGTACTGCTGATGAGTGCCATACCAGGCAGTTCAGTTTTTGCAGAATGTTTAAAACGTTTAGGACAATCGGAGAAAAATGATTGTTTTTTTGCGGCTATTGAGTAAAAATGACAGTGTCAATCGTATTTAATGCTCGATTTTTCCTGTGTAAATTTTATCTAACAGGTAAATGATGACAGTTCTGAAACTTTGATTTTCGAATAAAATTCAACTCAACAGTACTTTGATTTTTAAATGAATTAGTCAGATGTAAAACAGTACCTCTTGGTTTTTTACTCCAAATTCACTCATTTCTATGACTTAAGGCACTGCTGATTCTATAGACGTTGTTAGTTCGTTATATGAACCTTAAACTCTCAGCCATAGTCCTATCCCCAAGTAACTAAAATTGAGGAATCTTAAATACATACTTGAGTTATTACGAAATTTCCAGAAAATGGATGAATTTTGCGTGCATTAAAAAAACTATGCCGCTGAATGTTTCGATTTACCGGTAAAGTAATCTGTATAAGACTTGAATCGATTCACTAATCACTCTTGAATTGTTCACTTACAGAAGATATTTTTCGATTGCATAAGATCTGTTTGGATGTTCTGAGTACTTGTTTCAAGCTTTCCCTTAAACTTCATTCATGTCATTGATTCATGTGATATTAGAAATTTAATGTTTTTCACAATAAATTCACTGTAGGATATGTAATATATATTACACTGAACAAGAAATAAAACCGCCTGTATTATCGCGTGTACCGTCAACAGTTTTAAGGGATGAAAAATCATTATGCTCAACAGTGAAGTGTGTTTCGGCATCAACTTCATCCATATATATATATATTTTTTGAAGTGTCAACTCCACCAACAGAACCTTCGGGGCTACAGCCGGTCCCAAGCCCGGATAAAGGAGGAGGGTTGGGCATGGAGTTGGGGACCCCATCCCGTCAAAAACTAACTTGCAAAAAAAAGCCAATCAAAAATTTTTGAAGTGTCATTAAATGGTCTCGACACATAGAAGTTATACGTTCGGATCGAGACCGAAGAATTTATCAACCTTTTGTAATTTCAAAATCAGTTCGATAAACAAAACCTATTTATTTCATTGAAACATATTCTTTCTATAAGTCTGTCGAATAGCTATAAAAGCGATTCATCAAATTCATGATAAAGCGATTCATTTTCATTATTCTTTGTTGAGATAACTCAATTCATCTTAAATACAGATTTATTAGTTTCATGAGAGGAATGTGAGGAATGAACAAACATTGGACAGAACTGGAGAGGGAAGCCCAGGACAGAGTTGGTTGGAGGAAACTGGTGGGCGGCCTATGCTCCATTGGGGGTAACAGGTGTAAGTAAGTAGGTAAGTAAGTAATTTTCATTCACATAGTGGCCATGATCCTGCGGTTCCGAATAGCTTTGAAAATGTGTGAATTTCATTCAGCAAACAACAAATACGATAATTAAAAAAAAAGTAATCTAAATTATCTACGTAAAATAATTAATTTACAATACATTGTCAATTTTTAACCTAACAATGCAGTGTCTTATCTAAACACTCATTATGCTTGAAGAAAAGAACCTCAATTCATGCCACATACAAAAATCTCTTGATAATATCAATAATGTAATTATTATCTATACAACTATTCATATCATTAAATCAGTATGAAATAAAATTAGATTATTAGTGAGAAAGATTTAAGGCATGAATTCTTTGCAGTAATACACACAATTCTTGATGTTTTCAAACAACCTATGTAGGTTACGGTTGTGTTTCATCACTCTAGTAATCGCGTGTAACTCACTCACTATGCCATATGACTGAATCAATTCGCATAATAAAAAAAAAAAAAAAATTTTTTGACTTGGCATGAAATTCAAAAAAAAATAATAATTCCGTTACGTTTATTTTTCTTTTTTGGAATCAATCATACAACATGTAGAAAGCATGGTAAACGATAACTTTTTTTATACTAACTCAACAACTTTATCATCAGTTGCCATTATAGATAAGAAATGCGTAATAGACTGGAGGAAAAATCACACTCAAAGCTAAAGCCAAAAGATTATCACGTTTATTATATTCATGTTCATCATTTTTGTTTGGGTAAAAATGTCAACTTGTAAAAATGCATGTAATTTGATTAATGATTCAATGAATAATAAATAACAGAATGTCACGATAGGAGATTACCAAGTGTTCACTTGCGTTTCTTGGTTGTCTGTCTGTTTTACTCCTTAGTGAATGATATAAATCAAGGTTTTTGCGGTTGACAATTAATTTTCCCAAAAATGACCGAAAATCCCTTAACAAAAGTATCTAATATATCAAGATTGAATAACTATATGCTGAGTAGTTTAAAAAACTAATCAGCCTTATCAAATTGTTATGCTTTAAAATGTTACGCTTCAAAAATTTGTGAAATATTTTATTTGATTGAAACGTAACTATAAAGTTACAAGTATTATTTCTAGTGCCCTAAGAAATTTATAAAGATTCATTACGTGATCTGTAGATAAAGATTTCACAGAAGTATGAATAGAAACCAATAGGTTTTATTCCCTTGAATTTCAAAAAAACCTCTGTAACTGTTATGGGTGTCAAAATTCAGATTCGTTGACCAGATACCATTAGTAACAACCTACTGTGAAAGAGAACAAACCAGATTCCAGTGGAGGAGGAAATCAGGAAGAAGCGATGGACTTGGATAGGACACACTTTGAGGGAGGCATTCAACTGCATTACAAGACAAACTATCAAAATAAAAGGAAAAGAGGAAGGTCAAGGAATACATTACGCCGATAAATCAAGACAGGCATTAGAAGAATGAACGAAAATAGGACGGAACCTAAATGGGAAGCTCTAGACAGAGTAGGTTGGGGAATACTGTTCAGCAGCCTATTCTCCATTTGGGGTAACTGTGGTAAGTAAGTAAGTAAGTAAGATTTATCGCTAAAATAATGTAGTTAGAATCGCACAACATTAGACCTTCACTTATATGTTCAAGTTTCTCTTTCGTGTTATAGAAGAAGCAAGAATGCTGTCTAGCTCTAATAATGGCTTTAAGCTAGTTTTTCAAATATAACTGTTACGCTGTAATAAAAACTTTCTTCTAAGCAAAACAAGTATTGTAATTGATATTGTTGTTGTGTTGTTTTTTTTCATTTGTGTCAGTCACTAAAATGACTATACATATTTTAACAATATTTTGATCTTTGTAAACATGAAGTGGCAATTTACATCTTCATACATTTTCTCATCCTCCCAATCTGATGATCTAAGTAACATGATTTCTAAAAAGCTTTGATAGAAGATACTTGTTTGCTAAAGTATCAGCAGTGAAGCAAAACATTGCGATAGAAAAAATAGAATTTATCAGAAAAATAAAATTAAAAAAATATCCAAAACAATTTTTGTTAACAAAATGGTTAGACTAATTGAAAATAACAGAAATTATTCACCCTCTTTTTTGCCTACAAGTCAAAAAAAAAAACATTTATGATGTATACATCATATGTAAAACTCTAGTGGGAATAATTCTAAAGATTATCACTTTAAAAAAAAAGATGAAAAGCATCAAAATAATTAGATTTTTGAAAATAATATACATCATCAAATAAGTTAATTGTATTTACTTATTTTTTTAATTTCATAAATAAAAAAATGCAAATGAACATGTTTATGTAAATTTGTTATTAAATTTGATAAACAATTTTTTTTTGTTATTTTGGACAATTAAAAATGATTTCTTTGTTATCGTTGTTCATAATGATGTTCATAACAAATATGTATATATCTATATGGCAGTAAATAGGTTACCTCGCCTCAACAAGAAATACTTTAGAAGTGTAGAAGATGAAAAGAGTTGTCACCAGAAAATTTCACAGAGACATTCTAATTTAACCTTAATAGAGTAACTATACGGAAATCTTACAAGTCTGTTTTCTACGTACAAAGAGATGTGTTCATTACAGTCTACTTTTATATGGGTGCCAAATGAATTCATTACAAACTAGTTTAGGTGGAGCAATCTATCATGATAAGATTATGCTTCCTACCATATTCGACACATGTCAGAGATAACCAAAATCACTGATGAGTTATGGTGAATATTCTCAGTATGGAACGTGGAAGCTTCCGCTGAGTATGCTTTATATGTATATACAGGATGCATATGTTTGTGACACATGAATACTAGTGATATACGCATAATCCAATTTGCTTTAAGCTACCTAGAGATTTTATCTTTTTTAACGTTTATCAATAAAATCATGGAAATTTTCTGTTATTTCATTTTAACGATATTGAAATCAATCAAAATGGAAAGGTTTTTTTCATTTAAATACCTTTCTATTAGTTTCAGTTATTTTTTAAAATCAAACTGAACCGAGCATACATTTATAAACAATATTACTTTATAACAAGTTCAGTGTCTTAATGTTGTTTGATAAAGTACCTTTCTAGAAAACAAAAGAATCTTTCAGGTTAATAGTGCGTGTTCATATGAAGTTAAAGATAAATAGTTAAGCAACGTTTACTAAGTTAACTTTGACCTACATGAAAATTTCCGATACATGAAAGAGGTGAACAAGGATGCTTTACTGTTGTCTAGAAGGTTTGCTAAAAGTTTTAACTTTCCACAAATATAAGATTCGAACCTTCGATATACAAAAATAAACTGTTTATCATTCTTACTGAGAAAAAAAGTGTAAAAATAAACAATCATTTCTACTCGCTGAGA